AAACATCTTTGCTGAGAAACCCCGGGTAACCAAGTTCCCCATCAACTTCCATCCAGAAACATAGTGAGAGAAGAGAACAACCTCCACCTCCCTCTTAGCCAATTTTTGTTACTATTAAGGTGAAGGGGTGAAAAGATTCATATACCCAGTAACAGAGGAATTCAACAATTCTTGTGCACAATTGCTGATGTAAATATATTTCAGCCAATCATCTATTTAAAGCTTCAAAATATCAGTCACCCCCATGATAATACAGACACTAAAGTTATTTTTATTTTTCCTTTATGAAGCTTCTGACTAAAGTAGATAGTATTTTTCTTGTTTACATTTCGATAAGTGTCCCAATTTCTGTCCTTGGCAGTTTCTGGTTGTCCTGATCAAGGGTGTTATCAAGTTGAGCTTGACTCAAAAACACAGAGCCAGAAACTTGATTCGGGCTCGAAGATGACTAAGTCAATTATAAATACTATAAATAAAAATATATTATTAAAATCAATTATTTGTAAGTTTATTTATTTTATAAATAAGTTAATATAAAAAATTAAGGGATTTTTGGACTGCAATCCCCCTCAGAAATCTAATTTGCAGCCCCCTCCTAATCTACCAGTAACCCCCTATAAACCACATCCTGCTCATGAATTTGGCATTAATCCACGGGAAGGATTCAGTCCACCCCTAGTCTATTAGTAACTCCACCTAGGGGTGGATTGAATGGTAAAAACCCCAAAAATTAATGTATATTTATATTGTAAATACAAACATATTAAAAAATTAGTATTTTATTATGAGCTCAGTTAGGCTTGTAAGCCATTAACTTGAACTCAGCTTGACCAACTACTTGATTCAACTTGAACTCAATTACTTGAGAGCTGAGCCTGAGTAGCTCACGAGTAAGCTCAGCTTGCTTACACCCCTAGTCCTAATCCTCTTCCATAATCTATCGACTATTAATAAGGGAACGGCACCTTTTTTCAAAAGATTAGTCCTTTTATGTTCATAGATGCATTCAAGGTAGATATTTTATATGTGTTTTCCACTTTAAATTCTAAGCTTCATACTTAATTTCACTTATTTATCTTTTTATATCCATTTTAATTTTAAGTCTTGAAAGAATGTGAAATGGTCGATTTTGTTTGTAACAGATCATGCCATCTTGATCCTTGTTGTTTTACTATCAATCGTGCTTCCAACAGTTAAGCATACATTTGATTAGGAACTTTCATTATGATATGATGTTTTAGAAGTTTGGGTCCTATTCGGGGATAGCTCAAATGTTATGACTAACTTAATGATATCACAATGATTTCCCTCACTAATCAAAGGTTCTTGATCCACCACTGGATTAGATTATTCCATACATACACATTTTAAAATCTCAAATATGTTTTTTTCTTTTACAATAATAGGATATCATCATCTAAGCCTTATCCCAACTATTCGAGGTTGGTTACATGAGTCTTGTTTCACCATTCTGTTATGTTTAATGCATGGTTTTTAAAAATGGAACGGTGATCGAACTGGTCAGGGGTTCGGTTACTGGTTCGAACGATCCGACTGTTAGACCCAAATGGTCGGCCCATTCTGACAAAAAAATTAAAAATTAAAAAACGGTTCGAACGGTTAATCAGCCGGTTCAGTGATTTGTTGACCAAAATCAACGGTTTTGGGGAAAAAACGGTTTTGGAGGAAAACAGAACCGGTCAGGTGACCAATTCCCGGTTTTTCCGGTCTGGTTCGGTTTTGAAAACAGTGGTTTAATGTCATAAAAAGGGCAACCAATGCATGAGGCTCTTGCTAGTGCACAAGTCATCTTGAGTGCAAAGTTTACTTCCTTTTTTTCAATATAAACTTTGCTCTCATTTTGGGTGCAAAAATGCCTTGAAATTTGTGAAAAATGTCACTTTGAGTACATACATGCATTCTTACCAAACGGAGCCAAATCTGAACAATGAAAATGCCATTATTCAATGTTGGTACTAGCTATGTGGGGTGGGTGTAGACTGGGAACATCCCTAACTTCTAGCATGGAGATCACATCTGCACCCCACAGAGGGTGCCCCACAAACGCCCCACATGCATATCTCAGCATACATTGGGAATATCTCCGAAGTTGTCATGAAAAATATTCCTAATACACGGTTGAGATATGCTGTGGGACGTTTGTGGGGCACCCTCTATGGGGCACAGATGTGAATTCGCTTTTTTTTTTGCACAAAATTGTGTCAGATTAATCTGCTGGACAAAAGACATTGCTGGCCACATCAACACAACCACACATTAGAAAAATCTCCCATGAATGGACACTTCCCACAAAGGAAATAGAGTGTGTAGTGTAGGAATCAGGGAAAGTCCAGTAGTCCAACTCCAACCCATGCAATCTTAACGCCAAACAATCCAAAACATAGCTAGAATGCTGCAAAAGAAAGAAACAAGGGGAGCTGAAACGCTTCTAGTGTTAACTTTGATAAGTGGAGTGTTTTGGCAATTGATCTTCTCGTCTAAGTACCCAAAGAGACACAAATGGAAAGGAATTTGAGCTAGGAGGAGACGTCCGTAGAGCTTTGGAGCTTGTGAGGTCTCCTAGCTCAATCTGATGTTAGATAAGGCATCTTTTGATATATATATATATATATATATATATATAGGCCTGTAAACGGTATTCAAAAATACAAATTCGAATTTGAGATTTGGTACAATCAAATTGAATTCGGATAATTTAAATTGGATATTCGGTCGAATTTGAATATTAATTTCTTACCAATTAAATTATCGGTTTGAATTCGGATATGCATTAATCCGATCCGATAAATATCTGAACCGATATATATATATATATAATGAAGCAAACATGAAACATTTGAACCTCTCTGAATCTCTAATCTCTCTCTCTTCGGTCTCCATCTCCTTGCAAACCCTAACCCTAATCCTCCCTCCTCCGTTATCGTTGTCGTCGCCCGAGCAACCACACCGACTACACCAACAACTTGACAGTCGAGTACCGATCACCGACCACCACCCCTCATCCTCTGCCTCTCTTCACTTCTTCAGTTCTCTCTCATATCTCATCTAATCATCTTCTCCTCTATCTCTTATCTTTCAAATCTTGATTCATTATCACAATCGCTCGAGCAACCACCATCACCAACAACAACATCAATGACGACGATCAAGTGACAGTAGTCTTGACAGAAACCACCATTGCCGATGACAACCATCATCTTCTCCTCTATCTATCCTTTGCCGCACTACCATCATCAGTGACAGTAGTCTTGATGGCAACCACCATCATCTTATCTCTCTCCTTTGTCGTCATTGCACTGCCATCACCGCTCACTGGCCACCATTACTATCGGTCGAATTCGAATCGAATCGAATATTCAATTTGATAATCAAAATTAAATTCGAACTCAAATATTTGATATCCATCGGATATCAAATCAAATTTGAATATTAGTGTTAATGATCGGTTTCGAATTCGAATCTATCCTGATTTGATTCAAATTCGACCCATTTACAAGCCTACCTAATGGACAAACACAGATCTATTGACCTCAATAACACTAGCCACATCTGCGTGTGTATGTAACACCACAACACACGTTGGGAGCATCTCCCCGTGAATGACAATAAACAGTACAAGAGATGTTCTCAATAGATGTGTGTACACAGATCTGGGCTTTCGGCTTCCAATTGATGTCTTCTTTTTGCTTGGATTTCTCTTAGATGCTAAATGGGTGGAAACCCCTCTATTTATAAGATTTAGGCAAGAGTACTTTAGGAATTTTGGTAAGTCTTAAGACTGTGTTTACTACCTTTTCCTTCAACCCAAATACAACCCTAAGGCTGCGTTTGGAATCAATGTAAAATGTTATCAGTGTAAAAATACATTGATGATGTTTTACAGTAAACTAGAAAGTGACTGTTATTTTTTTTGAAAATAGTGATCGGTGGAAGAGTAAAGTTTTTTTATCGATAAAATCGAAGTAGTTTTTACATCAACTATCAATGTAAAACTACACTCCATCCAAACACATGCAAAACTAAACCAGAGTGTAGTTTTATGTCGATAATAATTACACCTTCTTTCCAAATGCATACAAAATCAAACCGATATAAAATTTACATTCATTCTTGATTTACATCACATCCAAATGCATTCTATAGATAGAAGTGTACAAATTGGTGTGGAACAAGGAGAATTTAGGGAGAATATGCAAGAGGGGTATTTTGATCTTTTTCTTTGTAGGATATAGGGACAAGGGTGGAATGGTTTAAGTGTCTTTTGGTATACTTGTGGAGGTATGGGTAGGTATATAATGTTGGGGAGCCTGGGGTATTTTAGGGTTTCAAGTGCGAGTGAGTGAACATATTTTGGTTAAAAAGCTTTCGATGAAAAGATTCCCATCAAGTGTACTGAGAATATAAGGTAATTTTAAAAAGTCAGCCAACCAGATTGTTTGAAATTGATTCTTTTTAATTGAAGGATTAAATGAGAGTTTGTGGAATATAGCTAGGCTTGGTTTTGACTTTTGATCAAGGTTTGGACTTAGGTTCAAAGGGGGTGCCAAATTTTGGCTTGACAAATGGTTTTTTTGGATCCAAAAAATTTAATTCTAACAATTTTAAGTGAATTATAGAATCACAAAATTCATTACAAAATTTCTCTGAAATGCCAAACGCATGCCTACTTTTTACTTTTTGAATTCCATTCTAGAAATGAACCAAAATAGTGGAATTTGAAAAGTGGCGGAATTGGCGATTTCGCTGACGCGGAAAGCCGGAAAAAAAAAACAAAAAACAAAACACTGCTGGCTATGGGGTTCGAACCCATGCGCACTTATGTGCAGAAGATCTTAAGTCTTCCCCCTTAACCTCTCGGGCAAACCAGCTGTTATGATAAGGGTATGAAGTTATATTAAAAAGTAAAATCTTACTCTCCACCGAAGAAGCATCCAGAAACAGACAACCGTTAACGGCATACAACAAAATTCCATGGGCCCGTTATACGAACCCTAGCTTAACCAATCCAAACTCCCTTCGATCCTAATTCCGGTTTCCACTTCGATCTCCATTTCCTCTACGTCTACCTCTCGCTGTAAAAGGTTGCTCCTTTTCCGATCCTTCGACAACTCGGTTCCGTTTACTCTTTTGTTATACTCTCTCTGGTTTGATCGGGATTGAGAAAGAAACCAGAGAGAATCCATGGCGGAACACTTGGCTTCAATTTTCGGAACAGAGAAAGACAGGGTAAACTGCCCGTTTTACTTCAAGATCGGGGCTTGCAGGCATGGCGACCGGTGTTCAAGGCTCCACACGAAGCCGAGTATAAGCCCTACTTTGCTGCTTTCCAACATGTACCAGAGGCCTGATATGATCACTACTGGAGTGGATCCGCAGGGCCAGCCCTTAGATCCTCGCAAGATCCAGGAGCACTTTGAGGTTGCTATTCTCCTCTTTCTTAATTCATCTTTTCCTTGTTCAAAGTTCCCTTTTAATTTTTGTGTTTAGTTTAGGGCTTTCTTTTCTGAAGGATCGTTTGGCCTTCTTCGATATCTATCCCTGTTATTCATGATATATTCTTTCTCTAAGGCTTCATTCAGCTGCCATATACCCAAAAAAAATCAGTACTTTATCGTTTCTTCTCCAAGTTTGTAGATTTATCTGAGTTCTGGATTTTATTATTTGTTGAATCATTTTAAGATGAAAAGTTTTCTTCATTCGTTTCGTGGATGTTCTCCCCTTGTCGGATTGTATGTTCTGTAGCTCTGTGCAATGTGGAGGATCCGTCATAGGCGTTAGAGTTGTGTAGTATTTATTTCTCTGCTGGAAGTATTTCTTATTACTTTTTGTAATTGCAGGATTTCTATGAAGATCTGTTTGAGGAGTTAAGCAAGTACGGGGAGATTGAAAGCCTGAATATTTGCGACAATTTGGCTGATCACATGGTGAATTTCTTTGAATTGCTGCAAATTTCATTTTACTTGCTGAACATTATATGCCAATCTCATTTCATTATACGTGCACAGGTTGGTAATGTCTACGTTCAGTTTAGAGAGGAAGAACATGCTGCCAATGCACTTCGAAACCTTACAGGGAGATACTATGCAGGTTTTTTCTTAACTAAATGTAGCGGTTGTCTACAGAACATTCTAATATAATATTCAATATGTGCCAACAAATTCTTTCAAAATCTGTACTTCTAATCATGGTGATCTGTTTAATTGATATTTCCGTTGCCCTACCAGCTGGGTACTGAAAGAGTGAAATATTTCAGGGCGTCCAATTATTGTGGATTTCTCCCCGGTCACGGATTTCCGTGAAGCCACATGTAGGCAATATGAGGAGAATACTTGCAATCGAGGTGGTTATTGCAACTTTATGCATTTGAAAAAGATTAGCAGGTAAATTATGGTGATTACTCAAGCCCTCCATTTCTTTTGCAACCAATAATTCCAGTGGTGCTTATTCTTTGGCATCTGATGCATTTTGTTTCATCATTGTCAGGGAGCTGAGGAGGCAGTTGTTTGGGAGATACAGGCGAAGGCACAGTCCCGGTCACAGCAGAAGCCGAAGTCCCTACAAGCATCGTAGTTATGAGGAGCGTTCTCATGGAGGTCGTGGTTATGGTAGATGGTATGATGACAGGGATCACCACTACCATGATGATAGGGGAAGGAGACCTAGGAGCCGAAGCCCTGGGAGGAAGAGGGGAAGAAGCAGAAGCCCTGGGGGGAGGAGAGATAGGAGCCCCATCAGGGAAGGTAGTGCTGAGAGAAGGGCTAAAATTCAGCAATGGAACCGGGAAAGAGAACAGGCTGAATCTGCTAACAAGGATAACAATTACAGTACTTCTAACAATGAAAGCAATGGGTATGATCCACATGGAGAACAGTACTATGAGCAGCAGCAGCCACCACAGAAGGGAGGATATGGCTACTGAGCCAGTCGACTATTTCTGGTTTGTCCCTTTCTCTTGTCAATTGAAACTTTCCTCCTGCTTTTGGGGAAAAAGGTTGCATTTCTTTTTTACAAAAACCACCCACATTTACTAAATATAGCTTACAGCCCATTTTCCACTGTGCAGGTGGTGTACAGGTTCACAGTTCTGTGATATGGCATGTAAAACCCTTTTTCCCCTTTCCCCCTAACCACCACAACAGTGCGTGACTTGTGTGTTTTAAGGCATGCTTTATTGTTGTGAAAGACCCTTAATTCTTTTCTATTAACCACACACGACCCTACTTTTTTCTTTTAACCACATTAGAAAACCCTACCAAGAGTCAACATACATAGTTAATTATTTTCTTTTAACGTATATACTATAAGAAGATTAATGATAAGTGAGAAGTAACGTCAACATTCAACAGCATTGTTATGAAGAGATTGCACCGTAACTCAAGGCTTCCCTTGGGACAGTGGAGCTCAAGGAAAGGCTTCAAGTGGGGTCACACACCAAAATATGAGGCATATAAAGTGCATGCATAAATAATATAAGGTTCTTGGTACATAACAGTATACTTCTTTGCTCAAACTAGCATTGCATTTTTTTTATTATGTTCAAGATTTCAGTTTTTTAAATCGTTTTTCTGTTCAAGATTTCTTTTTTAAATCATTTCTCTGCTCTACAATAATAGAAGCTTATGAGTCGGAAATCTAGTCCTCAGGTATCAGTAATTGCCGATGCTTAACCTCGCATGTTGCCCTCTATATTCAGGTCTTAATAAGTATCAGTTGCTATAAAAGGTACCAGATTGCATCTATTGCTTTTGCTTGCATGTGTGTGTATGCTTGATCAAATTGATCTTCTCTGTGACTACTGCACATCCAGGATAGCAAACAACCAAGTTCCCATGGTTCTATGTGGGGTTGATCTTCATATGTTTTTTCTTTCCCAGAAAAGTTGTGGTCTTACATACTTTGAGTTTTGCAGGTTCAGGTATCCCTGCTTCTCAGGATCGAGCCTTGTTTATACAGCAGCTTACCATGAAATTTGTTTACAGGTTGTTTGCGTAGCAGCGGGGTGAGTTTACAGGATATACAGACTGCGTGCATTGAACATGGTGGAAAGATTGTCAGAAGAGCATGGTCAATCTCCGAGAACATATACCAAGAGAAGTTCTCATTTGGAAGGTGAGGTCTGTGTATTGTACATCCTGTTCTAATAGATTGCAGGCTTTCAGGTTCCGGAAGCAAGTGTCACGAATTCTCCGATTCATTTCTTCAGACGGTTCCAGCTACAAGTACTTTTGGAATGGAGTTTTGTTATTTAGGGAATGTTGTTAAATCGTTTAATGCTTTAATGTTCAAAAAAAAAAAAAACATTGCTATAGAACCCTGTTGACATCAAAAGATGGCTGGCATACTCGTTGTTTATTCTATATTCTTACTGCTGCATCAAGCTTTTTTTTTTATAATTTTTACCGTGGTATGGATTTTGTTACTCGACGAGTGAGTGGTTGGACTAGGGGTGGCAAATGGGTGGATTGGGTTGGGTTGACCCACCAACCCACCATGACCCATCATCAATGCTTGGTAAAGGATCATTAACCCGCCTTAACCCCGACCCACCCATATTGACCCACTTGATCCATTCATATTGATCCTTACTCACCCTCACCTATGAATACAAAAACGGGTCGGATCGACCCATACATCCAAAAGTAATAATGCCAAGAAAACTCTATTAAGGATACTGTGGCAGAAGTGCGTCGGGTCACCCGTATACCCGAAAATAACGATGCCAAGAAAATAATATCCATCAAGGATACCATGTGGTAGAAATGACCTCTGCCAGGAATGTCATGCGGTGGAAATTGAGCCGACTCGTGTAGCCGAAAATGCAAAAATTATGGAGAAAAATAGCAAAATAATTTTGCAGAATATGTAAAAAAGGCAGTAATATTGCAAAAAATTCAGGAAAAAAATACAAAAGATTTCAGAAAATTGCAAAAAAATGCTAAACTTTTGTAGAAAAATGCAGAAATTTCACAAAAAATACAGAAATAACAGAAAATTGCAAATATTATGCAGAAAATGAAGAAAAATAACAAAAAATTGCAAAAATTATGTAGACAAATCACAAATACCAGAAAATTGCAGAAAAATACCAAAAAAAATGCAGAAAATATCACAAAATAGCAGAAAATGCAAAAATTATTTAGAAAAACAGCAAAAACTTGTAGAAAATGCAGAATGTACCACAAAATAGTATAAAATTGCAGAAAACAGCAGAAAAATATCAAAAATTCAAAAAATGCAGAAAATACTAGAAAATACCAGAAATTTGCAGAAATGCAGAAAAATAGCAGAACATTGCAAACATTATGCAGACAAATAGCAGAAAAATACCACAAAATAGAAGAAAATTGCAGAAAATACCAGAAAATTACAGGAATTGCAGAAAATGCTAGAAAATAACAGAAAGTTGCAGAAAATGCAAAAAATAACAGAAAACTGCAGAAAATATCAAAAAAATGCAGAAAATGCCCCCCTCCCCCCCATTTGAAAAACCTCTTTTTCCACTAATAGAACTTGAAACTTCTAACATTTTCAACAAAACCTACAAAAAACATGCAAACATACAATTGAGGTGTATGACAAAAAATACATATTTCATATTGTAAGTGTATGAGAAACAGGGTCCTAGCCATCCTTCTCAGTTTGATTTAGATAGGAATAGGAAAGGGGATTAAAATCAGCAAGAATGAGATTTCATTCCCAATGGAGGGGCAGCTGGGCAGGGAATGGGCATTCTCCCAAATGGGGGAATATCATTCCAGCAGGAATAATAATGAGATTCTGATTCCACCCAACCAAACAGTTAGAATCGAAATAGCCCATTCTAATTCCGATTCCAGGCCCCTATTCCTGCAAACCAAACAGGGCCTGAATTTTCAACCAAATACTTCTTTTGATGGGTGATGACTATCCTAATAATTCAATGCTTAATCTTTCTGTAAGGCTTTGAGCTGTTCTCATCCAAGAGTTAATGGGAACTCACTGGTTGTAGGTGATCTAAGTGGTATTGCTTGAAAATGCTTGAAAAAAAGCTAAAAAGAATTCTAGTAAAACACCATGAGAAGGTTATGATTTTACTTATTTTCGATCCATTTTTTATATGCACATTTCTAGAACCCTTGAAGCTAATAAAGACATCAAATCATTCAATTGAATAGAACCCGAGAAATTGAATTGGAGTGTCTTCTTACAAAGCAACCTTGTTTACTCCATTTTACATTCACCCAACAATGATAAAAGCATTCAAAGACAAGCTAATGTTGTTTCATGGTTTAACTTACCAAGTAGAAGGCCTTTTTTGAGTCACACCTAAACCGGCTCTGTTACATCTGCTTTGCAGAGCCACTATCACTAAATTTCCATCATACATGTTTCAATTAATGGTGTTCAAGGAACTGTTTTCAAATACTGACTTGATCAACCTCTGCACCTTGCATCTAATAGCATCCAAGAGTGTAGGCTTACAAGCAAACCCTTTGCTTACCTTAGAAAACATGTCAATTAATTAAATCTTATTTTAGTTTTCAATCTTAATATAGTTTTGCCAGGTCTCCTCCAAAAGAACTTAATATACCTTAAAAAATTTAATATAGTTTTCAAACAGGCCTCAAACTCAATAGGTCAAGTCCGGATCTCCTCCCAAAGAAGTTTGTATCCACACATATCTTGCATGGAGGATATCCTAATGGGTCAGGTCTGATCCAATTCTGGGTAGATCTGAAACTCATTGATAGGTAAATGTGCGGAATCAGTTATGAACCATTAGAACTCTTGGGTCTGACCCAGATATAAATGACAATCATACTTTTTAACCACCTGTAATTTGCCAAATAACCTACTTATTCGCTAAATTAACATCTTTGGAGATCATAGTAAGGCAATATTACAAATATATCAAGAAACAAATAGGTATTAGACAAGACCCTATATCCACTTATATGAGTATAGTGCATGAAAAAAAATCCATGTGGCAATACAAAAGAAGTCCTTGTGTTTGCTGGGTAAAAGCCTAGCTCAAGGAATTAGTCCTCATAATTCTTTTTCAAGACATCTAATAATGATGTAAAATTTAGGGTCAGTTATATGAATCCTACTTTGCCAATTTCTTCTATTAAAAAATCATATCCACTGTTAATGTATTATTAGTGCTTAAACCATTTCAGATCAAAATAAGTTATATCATCGTACTTTGAAGCTTAATGGGGAATGGAGAATGAAAATGCATATATAAGAATGAGATGGCACAGTAAAGGGAGTAAATCATAGGTTGTCAACCTGATATAAAATGGAGTCTAGTTCTTCTACTTTGCATATTTTTATTCATTATTGCTCATAAAAGACAATTCAAACAATCTATGGCTTTTTTCTTGTAATTAGATCTTGATATCTTTGAAGTATTGAAACCATATAACATCTAATGGAGATAAGCTTTTCTGTATATATTAGAGCAGGACCATGGAATCAAAACAGAGGCTTAAAATTAAAACATGCATATCTTAACTACACATAATATTATCAAATCTTGGAATAGCTTTGACTTTTCAAAAACACCACACTCTTCCATTTTTAATAAATTTTTGATAGGCTGTTGTACAGTTCATGCAACTTCCGATCTCAACATTGCAACTTCCGAGGCCATCAGTACTGGGTTAGAAATCTGAAATAAGACTTAAGTTCGAATTTCTTGATCTATAATACATCCTTATTCCATACACAAGATATAAGAAAAATATAGCATCCAAAGATTTCTTTTACCAGAAGCCTTGTAGATATCACTTTAATTCAAATTAAGAGACTACAACAAAAAGCAAAATCCCATCAACCATGTGGGAAAAAAATGAATCAATATATCCTCTAAATTAAAGGAGACTACAAAAAATGATTCCAGGTAGAAACTAGAAACCATTCAATAAGAAATAGCTATTTAAGAGAGTTGAGAACTCTGATGTATCTATCCAAATCTCTGGTGTACACACGACTTGAGAACTCTGAGAAACAACAGCGATGAAAACAGTGAGTTGAGAGAATTGAGAGAACTGCGAAACTAGTAGAGAATTGAGAGACAATCTTGCTTTAATGGTGGCGAGGACGAACTTTGTTTCAATGGTGGAAACAAAGAGTTGAGAGAACTGTGAAAAAATTTCGATGGCAAGTGGCTTGAAACCCTAACACTCTCCTTGTTCAACAATTCGACAGTTCGACTATTGCAGAAGCTCCTCTCTCTACCCTCTTCTTGACCCAAGTGACCCTAACCCTTTTTGACCCAATGGGTACCCTCGACCCAACCCACCCTGACCCTATTTTCCTTGACCCTAATGGGTCACTTTACCCATATAGTCCACTGCTGAAATGGGTGGGTTTTGAAGCGGGTGGGTTGGATGGGTCAAAAGGGTCAGGGTCAAGATTGCCACCCCTAGGGTGGACTGAAAAGTTTCTTGTCTAGGATGCAATATTCCAATCAGTCGATCCAATTGCCACCATCGCTTCCACTTTGCAGGCAAGAACAGCTACCTTAACTGGATGAAAATGGGTGGTGATCAATGACCACTCCTAACTAAGGGCGGACCGGTCCCATCCAATCCAAAATCAATTTGCACGGATTGGATGGACCAACAAGGCAACAAGACATTGGATTGGACCAATTCAGTCCAAAATATTTATTAGATTGGACTGGACATGGTCCATCTGTAATAAATTTATATTGGATTGGGTTGGATTAAGCCAATATCTGGTCCATTGATATAAGATAAGAATATAGGTGTCAATGGACCAGGTTTGGGTTGAAACCAATCTAAATCAAAAGAATTTGAACAGATTGGATGGTCTGGACATTGAATTGGATAGGTCTAACATGATCCAGAATATTTATTGGATTGGTTTGGATTGGACCTGGTCCTTTTATAATGGACTCACATTGGACTGGACCAAATCCAGTCCAATTGACACCCCCTACTCCTAACATTCAATTTCCCCTACACTTATGTTCACGGGCCAAATATGCATGCCCAATTGCTCCGGTGTATCTATGTATTAAATATTAAGTCTAAGAAAAGAGGGGGTTTTTTGCCCATGTTTGGGTGTACTTATTTTAACAAGTGCTCATCAAATAAATGCTTATTCCAACAAGTTCTCATGAGTGTTCGGTGAGATGGCACTTGTTTGTTATCTCAAACAGGGGTCGTGTAGGTACATTCATAATGACTTGGCAGGCAATGCCAGGGCAGAAAGGAAATAATACTTTTTGAATAAGGACTTAAAAATAAGTCCAAAATTTGAGCCTCTGGAATATTAGGCTTATTTGTAAAGTGCCAATGAGCTGGTTGGTAAGGTCTCCTGCAAGTCGTTGCAGAGATTTGGGATCGAATCTTGCCTGTACCTGGATTGGGGGATGGGCTACCCCCATTGTGTAACCCTTTAGAAGATACCAAAAAAAATATCAAGCTTATCTCTCAAATCCAAAAAAGTACTTATTTGGTGTGGTCTTCAGTTCACCCAAAATAAGTGCTTATTTAGATAATCGCTCAAAAAAGATAAGTATTCCCAGACTTACCCTTTTATCTACTAAGAACGGATTGAAAAATAATAATAATAATAATACATGGACCCATGGAGGATGATTAATGCAAATGCGACAATTTCATAGAATTCTTCACCACATGGCCATTTTAGATTGATCACCATAGCCACTTCATCTAGCATTCAAAAATTTTTGACAAAAAACAAGGAGGCATGGATTGATCATCCACCGTTAAAAACGATTGTACAAACAATTTAAAGGATCAGAAAGTTTTTCAACACAGGTCAAGCTTAGATGATAATGATGATTTGATGTTCCCATGGGCCTAATGCAATCACAAATTTATGAGGAAAATAAATATGATACATACCTTCACTTCATCGAGGTAGTATATATATATATATATATATATATATATATATATATATATTTGTGTTTTTTATTGAGTATTCATATTCAAAACTCGTCGAAATTAATTTATGCACTACTTGATCTCCTTAGCTCTAATTTTTAAATTAAACTTTTTCAGTTATATGTGGATTAAAATATAATACGCATGATACCTTCAAAATTATAAAAAAGTTTGACAATGTTATAATTAATACATATTAATTATAGGATAATTTATGGTCTATTCCCACTCAGAAATTTTTATCGGTCTTCTAAACCCCACCTACGCCACCCCATAAATCGTGATGGTGGATTCCCTCACCTGTCACTGGTGACAACTATACAAACTCATAAAGATTATTTATGAGGTAGATTGAACAATAAACACTTGGATATAAGGTGCAACTAATATTAATGAATGCACTTGGATATAACTCTTTGTTAACTAATAAATATTAGTATATATATACATACATATATTTTAGTTTTTCTATTATTTTACAACGGTTACTAATGATATCCTAATATTTTATATAAATCATTAAAGAATGGTTTTTATGTTTAAATAAATAAATTATAATCACGTAAAACTCATTTTTATTGTTGTTCTATTTTTTAAGGAATTTTTTTTTTATTTTCTAAATTATCTATGCGTATCTTGATTTTTCATCAATATCTATGCATTTTCAAAGCGTATCTTAATACATCTCTTAAATTTACATTTCCAATATACCTTACATTTTCAATACTTCGAACCTTGATTAAATGCATGTGCATTCCCATGATTATATGCTGCATAAAAATGGGGACCCCAATCAATGAGAATTGGCAACTCTGGGTGGACTTTTTTTTTTTTGTATTAATCACTGTTTTCAAAACTGGACCGAACCGGACGGTCGGACCGGAAAAAAAAAGAACCGTTCACCTGACCAGTTCCGTTTTCCTCCAAAACTGCTTTTTCCCCCAAAACCATTGATTTTGGTCAGCAAACCACTAAACCGGCCAATTAACCATTTAAACCGTTTGAACCATTCGAACGGTTTTGACCGTTTTCCATTTTTTTATTTTTTTGTCAAAATGGGCCAGCCGTTCAGGTTGAACGGTTGGACCACTCGAACCGGTAACCAAACCCCTAACGGTTCAGTCACCGATTCGTTTTTAAAAACCATGTAATTAACACAAGCAGGGACGATGAGATTATTATTCCCTTTCGTTTTCATCTAATTCCGTGATAAATTAGTTAAATCTAAATTTCATTGTTTTATTCAAACCAAAATCAGATTATCCATTATCAAATTTATCATCCAAGTTTAGTTACAATATTAGCCACATGTATCCTTTTGTTTAAAGTATATCCATTATCAAATTATTTCCTACTTTGGCCCACGTCCTTTTTGGTTGATCCCTACCACTTCTAGCCAATTCAACTGGCATAAGATGATTTTAATATATCAAATTGGATTTCCATTGCAATGAGATATTAAAAAGTAATATAAAATCAAATTTAAATGATCAAAATATATACAACTCATAAATTAAAAATGACTTTGGTATTTTAATTCATAAACAAAATGAACCGAAAAAAAAAATACTATGTAAATTTCTTAAAAATGATGAAATAAATTAGGAGTAGCGAGTTTTAGAGTTTTGGACCACCTGATGAAGTCATCTTTCTTCAATAAAGGAACAAGGGAAACGGGAAAGGCTTTGACCAATCAAAACACCTGTGAGATCTGATTAAAACCAAGTTGATTGGGAAAAAGAGAAAGAAAATAGTAAAACTTAAAACTTGGGTTTGATTTTTGATTTTTGAAGATGCAGTAGTTGAGGAAAATGAATTCATAAAAGTTGAAAATTGAGAGATGCCGACGGCGCAACAGTGTTAAAAATGAAAATTCGAGCACCCGAGTGTAACTACCAACCAAAACGGGGCATATACTACATAGTAAACTCGAAATTCAAGCCCACATTATTAAAAGTAAAATATTAATTTATGTTTAATATCAACATAAAATTTTTATCGAATGGGTAAGGTGAATCCGGAATTAATTCCTGAATTCGGATCGCCCTTCTTCATGGATCGAAGTCAATCAAATTAGGACAAACGGATAGTAGTAGTTAAATGACATGCATATGAATTAATAGGCATTTAAATTGATTGCTTACTGTCTACAGGAGAGACAAGAAAATCAATAGTAGTTTGAAGTTTGAACAATATATCCCCATTACCAAGCACCTCTTCTCAATAACAAGAACCTATTACTATATATCATCTTCTAAAAATCCAAAATCCATGACTCTCTCTTTTAACTATTTCGACTCTCTATGCCATCTCAAAACCAACTAAAATCTACCAAAATTTCAAGCAGCAATCCAAATACAGAACACTCCCAACTTCACTTGGCAGCAGCATGTTTGGCCTTTGTGTGGGATTGCAAAGCAATTTCTGACTTAAATGTCCTGCAAGCAGAGATTATATAAGCGATTTAGAATGCAACTTCAATTTGGAAAAATTGGTAATCATTCGATAAAACTATTCATCAATGGAAAGGTTAAAAAAACATACTTGTTGCAGGATTTGCAGGAAACCTGCCCATCGGATGTTGGAGTCTGTTGCTGCTTTTTCCCGGCACTGTTTGCAGGAGTCTTGCCACCCTGTTTAGGGAATGGAGTTGCTGTATGACCACCACTTTTCTTGCCATCTGTCCATACATACGATTTATTGTTTAGTGACTCCAATTGTTTTAAAATGAAAACCAGGACTCAAAAATATGAAAACCAGAAGTGCACTCTTGTTCTATGTTACACATTACACATGACATGGTTATAAAGAGCCTCCTGCGAGGACTACAAATCCCACAGTATAACTAAGTAGGGGATATTTTCATCAAAAGAGGGATGGAAGGACTGGAAGTCAATGTGCAATAGTACTGACTACTGAAAAGTCTGAAATAAAATATCATGCCACATCAGTGTGCAATAACACACTCAATACCCATTTTTTATTCTATTCCTGATTAGACACCCCAAAAGACAGTTTGGTTTTTGAGAAAACCATAAAACATTGACACCACCAAAATACAAAACACCACCAAATATTGGCAAAACGAGCAACTTTTCATGCATGGTTGCAAGGCACAAAATCAAATGTGACCTTTTTGTAAAAAGACAACCTGGTTAACTAGTATTTTATGATGCCCTTTTACCCCCCTCATCAATACCCAGGATAAAATTGCCTAGGTGACAGTTATACCCTAACAATATGTTTTCATGGGTGAATTGGTGACATACAATACATGACAACAGACGATGAAAAGGAGAGGTAAGGGTGCCCATTTGGCAGGGTGGAAGCATAGTGGTTTCTGGTTTTCGGGCGTGGGACTTACATGATATAAAAAGTAAATTAAAAAGTGCAGAGGAAAGAACCTGTCTTTTGTGGCGTGACTAATTTTGCTTTCTTCCCAGGAGTAGGTGTCTTGGAAGCTGATTCTGCGCCTCTCTTCTTGACCAGCTCTGCCTTCTGTAAAGAAAGTAGAAAAATATATATTATTTATCAGGTGATGGTTGACAAAAATGTATATAAAGAAACAAGAACTATAATTACCTTCTTTGGTGTCTCCTCATCTTCCTCATCAGAGCCTTCCTCTTCATCATCATCTTCATCACTTTCATCACCAGCATCAAGCATTTCCTAGGCAATAATTGTTATGCACCAAGTCAGAAACCATCTGGATGCAGATTAAAGAAGTATAGCATGTGAAGAACACAGTGATACAAAGTTACTTTCAAAAGAAAAAATTTAAAATGACATAAAAAGCTTCCTGAAATGTCAAGAAATTTGGCAGAGAGAAAATCTTCAACAAGAAAATAGAAAAAAAAATTGGCAAGGAGTCAAATGTTTGATGAAGAAAGTCTTGTATTAAGAAGGATGAGAGAACCCAGAAATCAACTTGTTTGGGCTTGCTTCAAGGGGATTAGTTGGTGGTTCAGAGGCAGAGCTCCGAGCCAGCACAATTAGGCTGAGGCTCACATATGAGCCAAGGTACAAGGCACATAGTTCTAGGCATACATAAATCATAAACCTTGAAGTGCACCATACTTGTGTGCATAGGTGAGATTTTTAATCACTGTTCAAAACTACATTGCTAACTTGTGTGTAAATTGGATATTGGACCTAAACAAATAAGAAATAGTAAATAAAGAATAATAAAAAATATCAAAACTCACAAAATGTATAAGATAGTGTAATAATAAATTATAATATAGTGTAATATAGTGTAATAATATATTTTTAATATTATAATATCATAAAATAAAAAATATAAAAATACTATGCAGTACCTTGAACAAACCCTCAAAAGGTCACCTTGTCACCTAGACATCACCCTCACAAGTCACAACTATGTTTTGGATTTTTACTTTCGACTCCACCATCTTACACCTCATTTTCACTTTCTTTAACAAAGGTTCAGTAGTAAGAAAGCAAAAGAAAACTTAAAAAAACATATAAATTATTGATACAAACTATCAATTTAAGACCCATCACCAATTTAAGAAAAGAATCTTCCCATTCAGAGAGTCTAACACAAGGGGCCAGAAGCCCTTTTCACAACCAAATACCACTAAGAAAGTTAAAGCAAGAAAACGTTTTCAGAGTTTATACTTCTTTGCAATTTTTGCGCAATCAAAGATTACACAAGAGGACAACAATGCTTAGAGAACCCACAAAAATAAAATAAACTTCAAAATAGATGAAATGCTAGTACTTTTAAATAAGTGGTTCATTCTCAAAGACCCAAAAACCTGATGCATAACTTATGAGGATAATACTCTATTTGACTGTCAGATTTGTTTGAGATGCATATTTGACAGTAAGATTTGTTTGAGATGCATGCCATGTAAAAAAATCTAAATGAAACTATTCAACATTTGGAAACTACCTCATCATCAGATTCATCTTCAGAATCATCATCATCATCTTCAAAATCGTCATCTCCATCACTGTCGTCAGATTCATCTTCCTTGGATTTGTCATCTTTATTTGGTTCCACAATCTTCACCTTTGGCTTAGCTGCAGAGTCAGGTTTGGCAGCATTTGACTTGTTTGCAGCTACCTTTGCTTGTTCGTCCTTGCGCTCAGGTTTCCCTAAAAGTTAAAGGGAATATTAGAAAACAGATAGCATCAATCTACTACTAAATTACTTTTGACTAAGAAAAAAATATGTCTCACCATTCTGTGTTGTGGTGAGAGGAGTTTCCTCATCAAAATCAGATTCAGAATCTGGAAGATAAATATATAATCAGTAGCAACTACAAAGATATAAAACAAGGACCATATGAAAGACTGCTCCAATAACTCACTGGTAAAATCATCCATCAACTCAGTAAATAGGAGACAAAAGGCAACTGTCAAGGAAACAAAATGCTACAATTGTATAATAGTTGCAAAGTGATTGAATTATATATAAAAGGAATGATGTGGAGGATATTCATCATTAATAATAGATTTGTATCCGGAGAAATAGACACTTCCGTTTTTCCAATTATGAGAAAGTTCAAACTCTTTCTCAAATACCAAATCAAGTGACATATGAGTGCATTTCTCTGCTGACAGTGTTCCCAAAACAATCTTCTGGCCCTCAATCTTCACAGATAGAAGAACAGGGGCATTTCCTTTGTCATTCTTGATCTCACCAAGAGCCACCTGTAAAATGAATGACATATGGCTTATTTCATATTTCCATTTCATCACAAGCCTTTACTCAAAAAATAAAACCAAGAAAACCATATTTTGATTAATCAATGCCAAAACAAGGATTTGGTTGGCATACCTGCGAGAGATGCAAAATCTTATCATCACCTGGTTGGACCTTTAGAGGCTCTCCACCTTTAACTTCAACACCTGAAAGCAATCATTAGCACATGGTATTACTATATAGCAAAGAAAAAGGTAAGAATGATGGAAAATGCACTTGAGACAAGGGAATTGACATGAGTAAAAAGAATAAATTTGTTGTGAGAAATATAGCAGTTGCAAAAATATGGCACAACCTATGGCTAAATAGCAAATGATATTTATCAAAGCCACAATTTAGAAAATAAAAGCCCCTTCAAAGACTTATTCAGTATGCAAAACATGAAATGAATATGGCATTTTTTGTCAGTGTATGGAAAAACACAAACACACCATTGGGATGAAAATATATTACACCCAAATAACCTGACAAGGGTGCCATATTGTATTGGATACTTGAATTTTAGTGTACAATTTGTATGTCCAACTGTATCTAGGTAAGGTAGATGAAAACAGATTGCAGGCTGTGGCTCTTCCATGACCTGAGCATCGATGACAATTCCCTAATCATGGCAACAGTCACGCCAAGCAATAAAACTGGTTTGTTAATCAGCAAATGGAAGAAATATACTGCAGACTGAAAAGGAGCAAATTATAGAGCATTAAAGTACCAAAAGTTAGTCGCCAAGCTAAATGACCATACTAAGCATCTAAAGTGATTATTTGAGCTAAATTAAGCAATAAATCGCGTAGTTTCAATCTCATGATACAATGTGAAACAAGGTCATAAAATGGCCAAAAAAATTGGCTTCGCATTACGCGAAAATGAAAGAAATCAATTACTAGAACTGCAAAAAGAATCATAAAACGGCATATACGGTTCTCCTGAGACGGTCTGCGGTCAGGTTAGAGCAGTAATCGAATACCAAATACCATATAAAGAACGGAGATAAGAAATGTAAACGCACAATACAACCGCCATGGTAATAGCGCCAGAGGAGCCATGAAAATCTAACAACGATACATCATTGAATGAAAGACAGCAAGAGTAACCAAAAAATCAATTAAAAACTAGAGAGCATAAGAGAGTACGGTGGAGAAGAGCACACAGGCCTAGCAGAAGAAAATGCAAAAACTATCATGAATCTGATGAAAAACGAACTAGTGAGAGCAGATAAGCTTACCCCAGAACTCCATTGCTTTACGAGAATAGAAAGATCGAAAGGAGAGTGAGAATAGGAGAAAGAGCAGAGGAGGGTTTTGAAAGGGTTTCGGAGAGTGTGGGCGCTCAGAGGCAAAGTGAATGTTGAGAAGATAGGATGGTTAGGGTTTCAGGGCAATTTAAAGGGATTGCCGCCAGGCGCCAGGGTTTAGGGTTTTAAACCGTCGTTGATCAGAACGGTTCGACCGTTCAGCCCATCACATAGAAGTTTGATGGGTTTGATGACTTTGATCAACTTCTGTAACTGTAACTTCTCTTTCGGCTTAAGCCCAAATAAAGTAAAAAAACGTTGACTTAGTCAATGAATTGTCTACCAGTCCGATTTAATTGGTGAATTATTCAACCTGCTTCACGGTATAAAGGCTCATGTACCATGGGTAAAGCTTAAAAGTGTCCGTTTAAGAGGATCAAGGTTTAGTCGAAAGCTTTACAAATCAATTATAAGATTCGACGCCAGTAATAAAATACATGGGTGGTTTTTATATTTTTTACTTTTTTTTATTTTATAAAACATTTGGCTCATAATTGAGCTTATGCGCTTTTAACTCCAACTCAAGTCTCTAACCCGAATCGAGTTCAAGCCTTATATTTTATTAGCAAACATAGTTCAAATAGTTAGATATTTGATTTGGATCATCGATTCGAATCCACACCTTAATAGGTGGGTTCATTAAATGGTTGAATGCCACACAATGTTCAAAATATCCACAAATCAAATACACACAAACATGTGTATCGGGTCTTTTGAACCCACATAACTTGGGGAGCGGGTTAATTGGAGACAACATCATACACATCGGGCTAGGTTACCTATCATGAGTGAACACACCAATGCTCATTGTGGGCTCCATTTGTAATGAACACTGGTGTGTTCAACCATGATAGATAGCTCAACCCAATGTGCATAATTTTGTTTCCAACTCATCCGAACTCCAATCACTCCAAAACTTGGTTAAGACCATAGTTTTTAAAAATGAACTAGTGATCGAACCGGTAACTGTCCGACCATTCGACCCAAACGGCCAGCCCGTTTTGACAAAAAAATTAAAAAAATGAAAAATGGTCAAAACCATTAAAATGGTTAACCGACCGATTCAGCGGTTTGCTGACCAAAATCAACGGTTTTAGGGGAAAAAGCGGTTTTGGAGGAAAATGGAATTGGTCATGTGACCGGTTCCCGGTTTTCTTGGTCCAATCCGTTTTTGAAAACAGTGGTTAAGACCCCAAAATCCCTATATAACTTGCAAGGTGTATGGGGCTTGCTGATATGATATGCCTAATATAGGGCATATCTTATTGAAATTTTGATGCTTGGTGCAACAATCGCCCTTATAGACCAAAAAAAGCTTAAAGACAAGTGCATATACCAAAGCTATTTCATTAATAGAGAGATATATTGGTTTCAAAAGTTAGAGGTGAAAATCAGCCCGTGCAAGGCACAGCATAATCGTGTGGGTTGTATTGGGTTGGGGGTTTCAAGTCCGTGAGTCAGCACGGCACGACTATGCATGTCATGCCACCCATGGCTTGCGTGTCAGTCTAGCCGAACACGCAAAACAGCACAGCCCGTGGGCCTACTTGGCCCATTCAAAAAAACTAGTCGTTGGGGCCCTTGGTGGACCCCCCCCCCCCAAATGGCTAGTTTCAGCTTTTTTTAGGGGGTTTTTATAAGAACACCCCTCAATCAATAGCTATAAGCATATAATAGGGGGGTATTTATGTATTTTGGCTTTGGGGGAAAGAAAGAGACAATAATGTCCCTCCAACAACTATATGCCTATATATCCTATATTTTTTTAGGACTTCGAGGGCATTTGGGTAAAGTGATAAATGACTTTACAATGACCAAGATACCCCTCCCAACAACTAAAAAATGGTTAGTTTTTAGGGGTATTTTTGAGCAATTGAATTATTTCCAATTCCTATAAATAACCTTATCCTCCACACCAATTGACCATTCTCATCACACTAATTCAGCAATTCTCTTCTCAATTCTCATACTCTCTCTCATCTCAATTCTAATAAGTTTATCTGTCTCATATTGTCATACACTTAGGCAATTAGGCAATTAGCAATTTAGCTATTTAGGAGGCTTTGAGAGGCTTCAACCTTGAAATCAAGTTGAGATTTTGAATCAGTAATCAGACCATCTGAGTGAGTGCTACTAAATTAATTTTTATTTTTTAGAATTAAAAAAATGGCTAGCTTCTCCTCCCAAAGCCAATTCCCCAACAGTAAGTTCACTAACCCGATTTGAAAAATATTTAAAATAGAGGAGATTGAGGAGAAGGGAAAATGAGTTGTTTATTGGCCACTTTGTCCAAACATTTGCTTTCTCCGGGAGAAACAAGAAAAAGACATCTACTTTAAAAGATTTGCTAGATGTTGAGGATAAATTACAATACAAAGAAGGGCATGACACCACTACACTTGATGAAGTAGATGATTAAAGTCAAGGATATGGAATAATTTTTTCAAATTTATTTAAATTTTTTGTTATTTTTTTTCAATAATGTAACTTTTTTATTTTTAATTTGTAATTTTTTTTATATTTTAAATGAAATAAAATTCCTACTTCTTTCCAATTTATTGTCCATTTTGTATTTTGGTAAGTGCTTTTTTCATTTATTTGCTAGATTGTTTTATTTTTTTAATTTATTCCCAAAGGAAAGTTAGCAAAAAAAAAAACAATCTAAGCCTTTCGAGCCCAGCATGGCCTATAGCCTGCTTGGCCCAGGCTTACAGCCTAGCTTGACATGACACAGGCCCGCACAGGCTCTGGCCATGGACCATGTTGGGCTGATCCCCAACTTATCCTAAGGGAGGGAAGCACAGCCTAACTCGACCCATGTGCCAACATGACACGACACCGTATTGGCCCGATTTACACCTATACCAGAGGTTTTAATTTGTAGTCTACAAATGATCATTCCTTTGTTTTAGGTTTTTAGTTTCAATGGAAAGAAGGAAAAACACTAAGTCTAAAAAGGACCATTTTGAAGCAATGTCGTAAGACTTGAATCAGAGTAAAAATCAGAACACTCTGTGGCCCGTTCAATTCATAAAAGGGTAAATTTTTTAAATTACCCTTATAGTTTAGCTAATTTATTAAGTATATCTTTATAGTTTGAAAATTGATTAACACTATCCTTACCGTTTTCTGACAATTAATTAACTCTATCCCTGTCATTAGCATCCTTAATGCTTCATCACAATTTATGCACATGTGACCCCATGTAACCTATATAATTTTTTTAAAACCCAATATTACCATCAAACCCTGAGCCCCCACTCTCTCTCTTCTAATACCTCCCCCTCCGCCTCTGTCCAGTTGTGGTTGGACAAGGGTTCGTCGCAATAAACATAACACTTCGCAACACTGCCGGAGCAATCAAGCATCAAGCGGTGGCGGTTCGGAATGGAGCAGACTTGTCAACCTTCTACAGCTGTAGCTTCGAAGGCTACCAGGATACCCTATACGCCCATTCCCTCGGGCAGTTCTACAGGGAATGTGATATATATGGAACTGTGGACTTCATATTTGGAAATGCCGCCGCTGTTTTCCAAAACTGCAACATTTATGCCCGGCTGCCGATGCAAGGACAGTTCAATGCCCTGACCGCCCAAGGCAGAACAGACCCAAACCAGAACACCGGAATTTCCATTCAGAATTGTAATATCATGGCAACTCCAGACTTGGTTTCTAGCAATGGAACTACAAGCTCTTATCTAGGACGACCATGGAAAAAGTACTCTAGGACTGTCTATCTGCAATCTTCCATTGATAGCTTCATAGATCCAGCTGGTTGGATAGCATGGTCTGGAGACTTTGCACTGAGCACACTCTACTACGTGGAATACAACAATACAGGCGCAGGATCAGTGACAACGCTACAGATGCTGCCAATTTCACCGTCTCCAACTTTGTGTAGGGGGATGACTGGTTACCTGCCAAGTTCGTTGCCATATTGCAGGAATTCTCGAAGCTCTTCGGGGCTTTCAACCTGGGCGATTTCATTTATTGGCTTGGCGGTGCTCTCGACGATCTAGGCTCCGTCGAATATGAAAAGATGCAGAATCTTGGACGACTCCAGGCAACGGCAGAGCAAGATTGAAGCTGCTATTCATCAGCGATGATCGGTATAAGTGGAGCAGTGGTATAGATGAACGATCCGTTTCCGTCATTTCTAGAGGCGTTAGCAAGCCAAAGTTGGGTTTGCCGAGCAGAGATGATCGGTATCTATTTGCATCCGCAGATTGAGAATGGAGAGAGAGCCAAGAGAGGGACAGAGGCGGAGGGGGAGGTATTAGAAGAGCGAGAGTGGGGACTCAGGGTACGAGGGCAATATTGAGTTTTAAAAAAGTTGTAAGTGCCGAAATCATTGAGTTCAGTGTTTCTTTTTTGTATTCTCTGTTTTATTTTAAAAATTTAAAGAAGAATAAAGGGTAACATAGTCTTTTTCGCCCTTCTGTTAATGGATGTTAATATCAAGGTAGAGTTAATCAATTGTCAGAAATTAGTATTAATCAATTTTAATAACAGTAAAGATACATTTAATTAATTAGCTAAACCATAATGATAGTTTAAGAAATTTCGTATTTGACCAATTTTCATAAGAGTGTTGTATGTTTTGAAGAAGTGTCAATAATTAACTAACAAGAATCAATCTGGATTTCCTCCTCACAAGAATCCTATTCACAGAACACTCTAGCAATACATCATGAACATCCCCATGAATGTGGGGCTGTAGTGATATATGGGTAAGAGACCGGAACACCACGATAATACGGTTTTAGTATTTTCACCTGTATCCCCAAGTATATGTCAATACAGCTCATACGTATTTTTTTAATAGAAGATCACTTCATGTATTTAAAGGAGTTTTATCTCTCATGCATTATTTAAGGGTTCAAATTCAAAATTTTCTATTATTATTTGCACTCTCTCTTTCTCTATCTCAATGTTTTGGGTGAAAGTAACTTTATCGATACTTTAAATGGCCATATTTGGCCCTATTCTCTTCAACTCAACTCATATGTATATGGGTTTAAACTTCAAGTTCAAATTCAAATTTCATAAAATTTAAAACTCCGCTAATCGTGTGCATCGTACTGAAATTTTTGCTATAAAAAGAAAGAATTATTATTTAAAATTTTCATTCACTTTCCCTCATTTTTTAAGGCCCCGTTTGGTTTACAGGAATAGGGGTCTAGAATCGGAATAGATTATTCCAATTCCAACTGTTTGGTTGGGTGATATTGGAATCCTAGCTATTCCCTACCCTCTCCCTTGGGAATGAAATCCCATTCCAATTCCCATTCTCTTTTCTGTCTGAATCACATAGACTATGAGAATAAATCATTCCAATTCCTACTACGAACCAAACAAACTTTAAATCTTTTTGGACTATCAAAAGTTTTATTATTTAAAACTTACCTTGTGTTTAGACACCCTTAGTGACCCTTAACAAAAGTTGTCCAACTAAGTACTTTTTTTTCTTAATAACCAAACTAACCCTGAAAAATCAATCAACCTTGGTAACATAAACAAACTTTGATCGTAGACATTGTGGGTTGCCTAAAGCATTACAATACAAATATACAGTATATTATTTGAGATGAATCGAGTTGGATGTCTGACTATTCAAGCTTGGCTTGAAATAGAAAACATGATGCTTGAATTCAAGGTTGAACTTGATTCAAACTAAAAGCACAAGCTTGAATTCGACTCGACTCAAAAGCTCTTAAGTTCGAGCTTGACAATGTGTCAAGTTTCGCATGAAAAAAAAAACTATACATATGAAAAATTAAAAATCATATGTATAAAAGATTATATATAAAAATAATTATACATAAAAAATTTATTATTTCTTATTATACATGTAGAAATATTTAGTATATTGTACATATAAAAACTTAAAAATATTATATCTAATATAAGCTCAATTAGTCTTGTAAGCTTCATGAGCTAAGCTCTATTGGGTCTGATCTCAACTAGAAACTAAGTTTAGACCACCTTTTTATGATCCAAGCTCGAATAACTTGTGAAAAAAGCTTAGTTATTGTCCACCCCCAAACTTTTGGTGAAGGAATTGTCGGCAACCATTCTAACACTACTACAGTGTCCTAGAAAACCACTAGAAATAAAATCATGATTGAAAAAATGACAATGAAAATAATTGGTGGCATGGTTTTAAAAATCGACCTAGAAAATAAAACCATTTTGGCCACTGATTTCCGGTCAATGGTTTTGATTGTCTAAGTTGAACAGTTCAAACATTTAATAGTTATGGTTTTGATTGTCTAGGTTGAACAGTTCAAACGTTTAATAGTTAAAACATAACATGTATATCTCATTTTACCATTGAGGTGGAATATTAAGGTAAGATGGATATAAATACTTACAAGAAGGGGCTTGTTGTATTTATTATTAAATTACATATCCCTCTCCATTTTTCTCTATATTTGATCTCTTTCCCCTTTTTTAGCTATCAAGTTGAAAACGAGCAAACCCATCACCAAGCCACCACTATACCACGAAATTTTACACAGTCATTTTAATTTCAATGTTTCTAAATTTTAATGTTTAGACAATTTTTTTTTTTGTTTTTGTTTTAAGTACATTTAGGTTAGTTTCTTAATTAAATAGTCATTAAAATCTATATTTATAAATATTAACAAGAATAATACTGGTTTGCTAATAACTAAGATATACATGCACATGCATAAATCATCAATCATGTATTTCTTATAATACCAAAAAAATCATTAATCATTTTTTATGTTTCCCAAGTATTGTATTTTGAGACCTATATTTGGATATTTGGTGTTATTGGTATATTTTTGGGATCTATTTGATTTTTCCTGTTGTATCAGTATGTATCTTAATTTTTTTGTTGTATATATCCAAAGTGTATCTTGGTACTTCACTTAAAGTACTAAGTTGCATGTATTTTGCACATGGCATTTTTAGACAACGATGATGATAGTAATGATAGGCTCCAAAATTTCAAGAGCTGTTTATATTTCTATGTTTAAAAATAATTCTTATTTAGCAAACTTATTTTTGTTTAATATGATGGATATATGATATCAAAGATGTGTAAAATGATTTCTAAAAAATTTGTTCATTTTTTAATTTATATTATTTAATTATGGCGTCAACGGTTAACATATCTCACCTAAAAGGCTGAACAACTAACCCACCGCCAATCATGAGAACAACTTTACTTTTGGGTTAGTTTGAACTTTGTATTCCATTACCATCATCAGTAAAAGCAATTCTTTTTTATTGCACATTTTTCTTTAATATGATTAATAAGATATTAGAGATTGTCCGAAATTTCAACAGTTTTTTTATTTGATATGATGAATATATAGTATTAGAAATGTGTCCAAAAGTTTTTTACCAAATTTTCTGCATTTTCATATTTTTGTCTTTTTTATCTTTATATATTTTTTGTTATTTAATTATGATATTGAGGGATGACACATTTGTCCCAAAAGGTTAAATTGTTGGCCCTCTACCAAATAGGAAAACAAATTAATTTTAGTATCAGTTTTATATTTTGTATTTCATTTCTATCATTAGTAAAATATTTCTTGTTTATCAAACTTATTTTTATTTAATGTGATTAATAAAAAATATTAGTGAATTTTTGTAGTTTTCATTTTTTGTGTTTTTCATTTTTTATAATTTTATTATCAGATTTTGACATTAAGGGTTGACACGTATGACCCAAAAGGTTGAACTATAGACCAGCAACTAAATAAGAAAAATTTTCATTTTTGGGCAATTTTAAATTTTTTGTCACACTTTTTACACCAATAAAAAAGTATTGTTTATCATACATATTTTTCTTTAGTATAATTAATATAAAATAATATAGATGTGTCCAATTTTTTACCATTTTTATTTTATTTTTGTTGTTTTCTGTATTTATTTCTATTATAGTTTTATTATTTAACTATGACATCATACGTTGATTCATTTGATTGCATGATAGAATTAGTTACACACCACCAAGATGGAAGAATTAGGGGTGTAAGCAAATTGGTTTGGTTCGATTTTGCCTATTATTATCAACTGAACTGACCATATCAGGTTGACTTATATGCCAACGGAAATGAAATTGACTATGATTAATTAAAAATCGAACAGTTGGTTTTAATTAAACCGAACCAACATCCTCTTTTGTGTGTAGCCCAATTCCCAAGTAAAATGTTCTAACCCAACCTCACGTCACATCACATTACCAAATTTTTGGGTTGCTTTTAAGTATGGGTTTTATATTTCTAAAAGCATTTGAATATAGATCTAATTCACATAATTTAATTGAATCAAAAAAAAAGATAGAATTCATTAGTGAGAAAAAATAAGCTTAAATATTAGATTTAATGAAAAAGAATGAGAATTAATACTTTAAATATAAAACTTAATGAAAAGAAATTAAATGACATAAAAAGTAGTTCAAATTACATCTTTTGCCCTCACAATTAATACCTTGTATATAAGACTTGGATCCTTCATTGTTGAGGGAGTTTTCATTGATTTTTCAATCTTTGATGGAGGTTCTTTAAACTTTGTTTTCATGACGTTTGTTTGATTCTTTATCAACACTTGAAGAGGTCCTTCTCAGTGACACTCCTGGTGCTCAGCTTACATAGTCTTATTTGTTGCATCTTCTTTTTTACTTTAGTGTTGTTGTTAAGTTTACTAGTTGTTTCTAAGTGGTGTGCCTTTTGAGTCTCTTTCTTATAATAATAATAATAATAATAATAATAATAAGATTTAGTGAAAGATGACGGGAGTTAATATCTTATAAGATTTAATGAGAGGGAATCAAATAAAATAAAAAGTAATAATTGAAATTACATTTTCTATACTCAGGGATCAAATTCAAAATAAGGTATTATAGTCAAACAAATATTCCACACTCTCAATTGTATTTTTAATATATATAGATATAAATTTGTTTTTTAATACACTTTACAATTTATATACTTTAAACATTGCATTTCCTATGAAATAATCTCTTACCTATTTGCAAGTAAAAATGTACTTGGTTGCATATGACTATTGGTAGTTGGTAGTGCATGGCTGGTATTTATAAAT